TAATGTGGAAAGGTATAAGGCTCGCCTGGTAGCCAAGGGCTATATCCAAAAGGAAGAGATTGACTTTAAAGTCCCTTTCTCTCCAGTTTCATCGAAAGACTCTTTTAGGACAATCATGGTTCTTGTAGCACATTATGATTTGGAGCTTCATCAAATGGATGTCAAGACGACGTTTCTCAATGGCAACATTGATGAGACGATTTATATGGTACAACCAGAAAATTTTGTGTAGGGAGATTCAAAGAATATGGTTTGCAAACTGACAAAATCCATTTATGGACTAAAACAAGCATCTCGTCAATGGTACTATAAATTTCATCAAGTAATTCTCTCATTTGTCTTCGAGATGAATATTATTGATGATCGTGTGTATCACAAGTTTAAAAAGGGACAAGTTTAGTCTCAATCAGTGCCCAAAGGGGAATTTGGAAATTGAGGAAATGCAAAAGATTCTCTATGCATCAGCTGTAGGAAGTTTGATATATGCCCAAGTATGTACACATCCAGACATAGCATACATAGTTGGGATTTTAGGCAGATATTTTAGCAATCTAAGAATGACCATTGGAAAGCAACAAAAAGGGTCATAAGATATTTAAAGAGAACAAAAGATTATATGCTCACATACAGGAGGTCAGACCAGTTGGAGATCACTGGGTTTTTTGACTTAGATTTTGCAGGATGTCAAGAATTTGTAGCATGCTATGAGGCATCAAATCATGGAATATGACTGAGAAATTTTGTCACAGGGCTGCAAATTGTGAAAGATATTGAAAGACCACTTAAGTTATATTGTGACAACAAATCAGCTGTATTATTAAGGAAAGAGTACAAAGTGGACAGATTTTCATAGAACACTTAAGGACAAACTCCATGATAGCAGATCCTCTAACTAAAGGACTTCCGCCCAAGGTCTTTCATGAGCATGTTGCTCACATGAGTGTTTTACAGTTTGAGGAATTTGTGGTTTAGTGGGAGTTAGTCACTTTCATATATTTTATGTTCTATGTTTAATTTCATATATGTATACATTGATTTTTGGACATATTTGGTTATCTATAGATATGCAATTTTTCGTTCATTCATTACACTTTGTACATTAAGGATATTATATCGATCTCGATAAGTTAAAGTTTGGACCAGTTGAAAATAGACGTGTACAGATCACCTTCACGTAATTTTTCATGCTACACATTTCATGATGAATCCATGTCATTTGGTTATGTCAGGATGAGTAATCATTGTTGGTTTTAGTTGCGAAGATACAATGAAAAGCTGGTTTGGTTCTATATTCTGATATGATTAATGCACAGGACTTTTGGAGTATGTTAAAGGAATATAATGGCAATTTTGAGCTCATAAAGTCTAACACATTTGTAAGGTTGTAAGGACATATATATTTGTGACCAGTGGGAGATTGTTGGCAAAATTTGGGTCATGTATGATACATAATTTAAATTTGTTAGGGTCATTATTTATTAAGCCAAATAATAAAGTGATCTGACTAAATTAAAGTTTTGGCTAAAGGCATATGTCAAGAAAATAAAATTGTGTAGAGACCATAGAGTAATTTCTAATTTGATGAAGAGCAAAATTGGAAATACTAAAACTGAAGTAATTAACCTAATTCTGGATATTTAAAGGGTCATGGTCCCCTTCTGGGAGCACACACAGAACGTAACTATCAGTCTCGTTCCTTTCTTTCTATTCTCATCAAGAGAGAAAATCAAGAGAGAAATACAGATATTCTTCAGGTGGAAGACCATAAGATCAATATAGTGTTCTACAAAGACATCATCATTATGGCTAATTCAGGTATGCTTTTGCATTCAGTTTACAACATGTTTATCAGTATGAGATTACGTTTATGTTTGATCGTTAGAATCAAAATCAGGATTATTATTATTATTATTAGTTTTTCAACATGAGAAATATAATCTATAGAGGTAAACAAAGGTAGAAAGATAGAAAGAGAAGAAATGTCTTTTCTAACATGTCTTTGTCATTTCAAATAAGCATTAAAACAACAAATACAATAAATTAAAAATAGTATTAGGAAACCTAAATAGGATAACTCTTAAGAAAAAGTTTTGCTACTTTGTCATAGTTTTTTTTTAATCAATCTTATACACTACCTTTCTCTTCTTTTTTTTTTCTTAAGTTTTTATATATTATGAATGAGTTTATTACACACTAACATTGTCACTACTTTGTATTCCTATCACCTAATATTATCTATTGCTTGTAAGATTTTTTTTATACTAATACATTTTCTCTTAATAAATATTTTGATTATATTTATGTTATAAATCACATTCTAAAACAATCACACTTTACATTTTTTTTAGCGCATATTCAACTCTCATCAATTTTTTTCAATAAAAAATAACATAAAATTATATTTATTAGATGCATATAAGTTGAAACAATAATTTAAATTAGTTAGTTATATTTTAAAAATGTTATTAAATAGTGTTGGTGAATTACAAAATATTTTAACTTCAATTAATAATTATAGAAACAAAATAATATTATGGTTTTGGTTTTATTAATTATATAAGAAGAAAATTCCATCATGATTTTGTAATTTAATAATATAATTTACACATGAAACATCTTAACTTTTCCATTTAATACTAAAACCAATAGAAAGAGAAATAACTCACTACCAACAATAAAATATAATTCATCATGTGTACATTTATTTTAACAAAACACATATAAACTAATATGTTTGTAAATTTTAAAAAAATTTAACACTACATAAAAAAATAATATAAAAATTTATCTTAATATAACTTTAATATGACTGTTAAGTCTAATATATTCACCCATATATTATTAAATAATACCATTAAAAAAATATTTATGAAAACTTATTAAAATATATGGAAAAAAATATTGCTTTTTGAGTATTTATTATAAACTGTGTATTTTATATATATTAGATGTTAAAGAAGAAAAGTTGATATTTAATAAATTTAGCTTCTCACAACTGAAAGATAATTTAAAACATTGTGTAACAAATAATCTTATAGAAATAATAATGCATAATATATATATATATATATATATATATATTTCATAATATATTAAAATAATAATTTATATATAAGAATATTTAGGTTCAATACTTCATATATAATTTAACTATATGCTATATTTTAATTATGGGGTGGAGGGAGAAAAGGCTGAATGTTGAACTTGTATTGGACCTAACGACAGACCACTGAGTTCTAGTTTTTATAATAAGTTTCTTCTTTCCTCCCTCCCGTAGGCACCCGAAATTAAATTAAACCCCATTTTACTTTTACATTATCTTCACCTTTATATTTGAATTCATCTTTATCTTTGAAATATATTCTTAACCGACCTTTCTGAAAACATATTCCGAAAAATTCATTCCAAAATACATTTCCAGCAAAATTAATCCAAAAATATATTATAAAATTCTACCTTATTTTTGTGACATAGTTTCATATTGAACAATTTTGATCTTTTTGTGCTATATTAGTAAAAAATATTTAATTCATATATAATATTAACGATTAGTTACATTTAATGATTAGAAAAAGTTTTCAATAGAGATTATAACACACAAAAATTAAATAATCAAAGGACAAAGGTGCTAAGGGATAGAGGTGTATAGTTATACACAAATAGGAGAAAAAAAGTTCATATAAAAAACAAAATTATAAAAAAATATTTGAAGTATTTAACTTGGATTCGAAGATATAAAAAGAAATTATCGAATTGCAAAAATAAGAGTCTTATAGTAATAGTTTGTTCCTTGTTTCTATATCTCATTCCATCTTTTTTCTGCACTCCATATTTATCTAAAAAAATAATATTACTTTTAATATAAATAAATTTCATATTTACTTTTCTAAAAAAATTCCAAACAAATTTTTTGAAAATATTCTGAATCGACGTTTTCAGAAATTTTCCATAAGTGTTCTGAAATATTTTGAAAAATAAATTTTAAAAAGTTTTCAAAAATATCAATTCAAAATATTTTCAAAAAGATAAATTTGAAAAGTTTCTAGAAAAATATATCACAATAATAATATAGATATTAAGTTCTATATTAAACAATCTATAAAAAAATTATAATTTTTGTAAGTTCTAGAATGGTAAATCTATGAAACTTCCAAAATAATAAATTCAAAAATGTTATAAAAAAACATAGGGATTAGTAAATTTATAAGTTTTTAGATAAAGAGATATGAAATAATGGTTGATAAAACAAATAAGCAAATGTTGTAAAATATTTATTGCACTATCTATTTTGATTGTAGACGGATGACATAGTCTTATCTCATAAAAAATAGTATTTTTGGTTTATCAATAATGACTCTTGCAATTGTTATTCAATGCTTCTACTTCTGTCTCTCAAATAATAGAATCTTTGAATGAGGGAAATTATTGTTGATTTTCCACATCCATTTTTTCAATCAGACAACACTTTTTCACAGCTTTACCTTGCAAAAGATTGGTATTCCTGTCCTGCAGTGCAAAGAAGAAAGGAGATGCAGAACCATAAAAATACGTTAGTTTTCTTAATTAACTTTCTCATTTGTACTATGTTCTTATAATTACCAGTGAATGAATATTTCGGTACTTCAAATATGTAGAGCAGTATAGAATATATATGTCAGACTCATTTAGTCAAACTTATTGTTTATGCATAACTGTTTAAAGACTGAACAAAGATATAGAAGTAGTTTTCCTATCATTATATATAAATTTGTAATGCATAATTTAATATTCAACTTTTGTTAAAGTGAATAAATGTGTAAAGTGAAAAAATAAAAACATATTTATCATTAGTTTGAAGTTCATTAAGACCATGAAGTATTATTCTATTAAATTTAACTATATACATAATGTTGTATTTAGTTGTTTAACCTTTACATACAAGAAGTAATTATGACCAAGATAGAGATAAAAAATTGATCTACTAAAATTAAAATGTTATTACAATCAAAAGCCCGTCTAGCTCAGTTGGTAGAGCGCAAGGCTCTTAACCTTGTGGTCGTGGGTTCGAGCCCCACGGTGGGCGATTTTCTTGGAAGTTAAGTTTCTACTATGTTTTAAATGAAAATAATACAATGATTTTGCATTTTGAAATGGAAAAAAACAAGTTTCTACTCACTACAACAAAAAATCAACTAATTAATCTCTACTGCAAATAAATTAGTTCAGTTATGAATCTCTGAGGAAGATGCATATTTTTCCATCAGAATTCAACATAATATATTTAATTTAACCTTCCGCACAACAATTCACAGCAGTCAAACATGTGAATCCTCCTCCCCAAATTGTAAATCAAATTATGAGTAAACAGAAAAAAAATATATATATCTAAGAGATTTAACAAAATTACTTGACGCAGGAAGTACATGAGAAACTTAGATTACACAAACGATTGAATAATGCGCGTTTTACCTTCAATGTTGAGCAATAATCAGTGATTTCGATTTTCTTGAACTTTTATGCTGAGGGCGTTCCCGTGAATCTGTAGCAGCTCTTTAAGCGTTTGTGATCACAGCTCTTCAAAGTGCTAATGGATATTGAATGCTTCGGAAGCTCCCAATAGAAACCCCAAAAGCGGAGAGGAGAAGACGAATCGATAAATAAGAAAAACTTTATACTAACCATTAATATCTATTTAAAAATAACTTTCAATTTTATTCGTTGAATGAATCTAAAGGTTCAAACTAAAGCACAAGAGAATTGGAGACATTTTAAAAACATTTAAATTAAATTTTAAAAAAATTAAATAAATAAAGTCAAAATTATTATTTAAAATAAATTAACAACATTAAAAATAAAACTTATAAATATTATATATTATATGATAAATAAGTCATAATCTATTCATGGTGTGAATAAAAAAATTATCTTAATTAATTCATTTTTTAGTCTTGGACAAATTAGATTTGCTCTCTAAACTGATTTTTTTTTCTCTAATAATATTTTAAATCATTATTATCATTGACTTATTTTGTCAAATCAAATCAAATATTGAAGACGTTGTTGCATATTTGTTAACAAATTTGTCAATAGTAATTGAAAAGAAAAGAACATATTTATGGGAACTAAAAATAAAATGACATATTTACAGTTATTATAAACAAAAAAGATAATATACATGTAGAGACCCTAATAAAAAATGAATTTTGTAAGGTTAAGGATGAAAAATATATTTAAACATCACATTATTTATTTTCTCATAAATATGAATAAACTAAAACAGAAAATATATTTATTAAAATAAATAATTTATCATATAATAATTACTCATTTACTCTTCTTTTAGAACAGTGTATGATGTCATTAAGTTAAAATTTTGTAAAAAAACAATATTTATAATAGTGTGAATATTTATGTCACTAGTTTTAAGTTAGTTAATATCATGAAGAAATATTTTATCAAATTTAAATATATATATATATATATATTAATTTATTTATTTATTTTTTTACATATATTTAATGGAGAAATAATTGTAAATGAGATGTGCCCAAAACAAAAATAAATAAATTTATAAATATGGTCGATGTAAATTAATAACATCGAGCCCGTCTAGCTCAGTTGGTAGAGCGCGAGGCTCTTAACCTCGTGGTCGTGGGTTCGAACCCCACGGTGGGTGAAATGGATTCTGTTTTAAAAACGAAACCAAATGATTCAAAAGTATCTAATTCAGGAATGTTTTAGGATTTTATTTACTTCTATTCTTATTCTTAAAACACTTTTTCATTGCCATCTTATTTTATCAAACACATGGCACTGTTCATCTCTCAATATTTTTTCTGGAATAAAACGATAAAATAAATAAATATATGCTTCTGTTAATTTTAGTTTCATAGGTTTTTCAAGCTTAGTATGTCCTCCTTTTTATTAACATTTGTATACACGAGACATTTTTTCAAATTAATTGGTTCACAGATCATTTTTAAAATTTAAACATAGTAAAACTTGTCCTAATTTTATTAATATTTTACTCTCTAAGAATAAAAATAGTAAATATAATATTAATTATAGAATATAACCAATACACATTATTCCTAGAATATATTGCTTCACAAATGAGCCTTTCCTCAACAAGAGAAGGTGGATACTTTTCAGAAGAAACCTGCCAAGCACGTTCTACATCCTCTAATGTTCCATGGGTCCATGAGTATACTCTTCTTCAAGACCACCATTGTCACTCCCATAAAAGATGAGTTTAAGTAGTTGTTGTCGAAGTTTGGACATTTCATCCATGGTTTTGAAATGCAATGCATTGTCATCACAGAATTCTACTCATTTCCGTGAAAGTTGAAAACACTGTAAAGCATAAGCTATCCTGAGGGCATCACGAGTGACAACTCGAAATTGTTTGCGTGCAACTTTCGCGGTCCTTGACTTTCCATTTTTATCGAAGTCCCTCTCACCATCTCCCATTGTAGATTTCTCAGACTACTCTGAATCTCTGCTGCTAACATCTTCATATTGCATTACAAAAGGATTTGACAAGCTCAACGCTACATCAGCATATGCCAAAAGCATATTTGAATTACATTTAAAATCATGTCTTGTACTTTTAATAACAGTGAGGAGCATTCTAGAATGATAGACCAATCTTATTGTCATATCTGACTTGAAAACCAGCTTCCTTCCCTAGATGGAGACCAAGCTCATATGCCACACGCTTAGCTGTGGCAAGAACAGCCACTCTACGTGGTTGAGTAACACCAATGATACCCTTACTTGAACCATAACCAGCTTCATAAAGAAACTGATAAATTTAAAAAATTAAAAAGAAAACGGTCAACAGGTATGCTAAATAAAATGATGGACCCTATCACCATAATCAGGTATCAGATAAACTAACCTGAGGAACTTGAGTTGTTTTACCACATCCAATTTCTCCGCATATGATAACAGTAGAGGAACCATTTAGAGCTTCCATTATCTCTTGCTCCATCATAACTATAGGCAAATCCTTTCTTTTGTCTTCAACTTCACTTGGTCTATACACATGCACAACAGTAGGAAAATTTGAACTCGTGTGTTATTTTTACAGACAAAAAAAGAAGTAAAGTGAAGAAGTATATATATATATATATATATATATATATATATATATATATATATATATATATATATATATAGGGTATTCTTCCAATGGTCCAAAATGAAACAATTGAGTTATATCTTGTCCCTTGATTATACACAAATTTCCAGTCTGATTAGGCACTATACGTTTAAATTGTTTTTTTATTTATTTTGTCAATCGAACAAGACAAGGGATAACTTCTGATTTCACCATGTTGCTTGACAATGGAAATGTCAGCAAGATTTTCAGAAACATATTTATAGTTGTCAACTTCATTGCGATGAAGAGAGGACTCCAAAGGCATTGATGTTGTATTTAAGACTTCTACTGATCTAATGGGTTGAATTTGAATGTCATTTTCTTCAACTTCATCAGCTTGTGCTAAATGAATTTCATCCATCTGAGGTTTCTTGGACAGCCCATCATATGAAACCTCCAATCCTTCTTTCAATAATTGAACAGCCCTCCTACGCTTTTCCTTCTTAGTCTCATCCTATAAGTATATGACGGCATTAATAACAAATAGTCTCAACACTAATTAATTTTACCATAAAACTATCACTTTATCATAAATACATACCCGATTTATATTGCATTAAGACAGCAAAAGAGGATATGCATACTCTGGAAGTGTGTTCTCACTGGAAAAAATTAATTCAAACTTTTATCAACGAATTAATGCTTTCCACAGAATACAACAACAAAGGAAAAAACTGTAACTGAATAATAAGTCATGCACATACTTGAATTTCTGAATGGCTTTTCCCAGAAGAAGTTGTTTCTTCTCGTCATCCTACATAGGCAATTAAAAAAACTGAGACTAATAACAGAAGAGAAGAGAATGAAAAGCATTCACTTTTTGTCCACGCAAAAACCTCAAACTTCTTCTTCTTCCTCTTCTGAGTTTTGCTCAATTTGTGTTTCTTATTTGATTGAACTTTTTCATGTTCCTAATCAATAGAAGTTTGATCAGACAAAGTTTGCATGTATCTTATTTTAAGGTCTAACTGTATACATCATATAAACGAAAAATATAAATATAAATAATATAAAGCAAAAATTATGATCGTAAGCCCGTCTAGCTCAGCTGGTAGAGCGCGAGGCTCTTAACCTCGTGGTCGTGGGTTCGAGCCCCACGGTGGGCGAAATGTTTTTGTTTTTAAAATGAAATGAAAAAATGATTCGAAAGTATTCTGATCAGTTCAGGAATGTTGGATTTTATTTGTTCTTATTCTTATACACTTTTTCACAGCCATCTTATTATATCAAACAGATGACACTGTTCATCTCTCAGCAATTTTTTGTGGAATAAAACGATAAAATAAGTAAATATATGCAAGGTTTTTCAAGCTTAATATCTTTCTATGTCCTCCTTTTTATCAAACATGTGTATACACGAGTCATTTTTTTCAAATTAATTGGTTCACAGATCATTTTTCAAATTTAAACATAGTAAAATTTGTCACAACTTTATTAATGTTTTACTTCCTAACAATAATGAAGCACATATTCATTTCCGATCAATTTCACTCATGCAATTTTCTCACTTTTCCCCCCCACGAAACTATACAGCTTCCACCAAAGCATGCCAAAGAGGATGAAAGAAGAACAGAGAATTTCTGAAGCATCTCATGCCAAAAACTTGGTTCAGCTATGTGGTTGACCATGCCACAGCAATTAGTGTGCTGACGAAGTTCAGGAATACAGTTGATGGAGTTGCCCACCATTGTCTGCTTCAACAATGCTGTGGCTAAAACTGGGATGCATTCTTTTCTTGCAGAATGCAACATAACATATTCAAGACAAAAAAAAATGATATGCTGGATAAGGGAAGATGCAATAATCTAGGCTGCATCATATTAAACCCACAATTTAACCTTCCACCCAACATATTCACAACAGCCAAACATGTTGGTCCTCCTCCCCAAATTACATACCAAATTCTTCGTGAAATTTCTCAAATTATTTTTTTAATCTTCTACTGCTGTTGAGTAAACAAAAAAATATATATGCAAGAGATTTGACAAAATCACTGTTGATACAGGAAGTATATTAGTAGCTTCTTGGATCTATACGTCAAAGAAATACAACAAAATGAAAAATATCTAACCCACTGTAAACCTCTGAATGTTTCAACTCATTACATAGAATCACTTCTTACCACGACACTATAATGGGAGATGAAAGAAAACTTCCTTAAAACAAAGAGATCCATGAATTTAACACAGAATATTTATTTATTCTCGGTCATCTTCCTGCGTATCTCATGAGCAACATTAAAAATGCCAAGTGTTGGCTGGTTGCAGACAAAACATTTCTTATTCTTTCCATGATGCTGAAAATAAAACAAACAGAAAGTTAGACATAATTCAATAGCAAGAAATTTCGTGTTACTACGTAACAATGTCACATGTCTGCTTAATCTATGAGTAACAACTGCAACCAAATATATCAAACTAAAATGAGTAACAAAATCTTAATCACAAATGTTGAATCACGTGCTCAACACTAAATAACTGTAAATATATACCTTCAATGCACAATGCTCGCAGAAGTAGTGCTTGCACTTGGTAACAACAGGATCCAAAAAAGGGTTTCTACAGATGAAACATGCAAAAGGTAACGAGTCTTCGTCTTCGTCATCTTCATCAATCAAGTTAGCACCCTCTTCCTCACCCGCATCCTCACCGGCGGCCAATCTCATCTTCCTAGCTTTCTCAGCTTCTTCCCATTCCTTCTCCAACTGCCACCCAGATTTGTAATCCCCTCGATCATGCATAAACTTACATGAATCACCATATCCACAGTAACCAGTTTCCTTATAATCCTTACATATGTCAGGTTGATAATCAAACCTTGCTGAAACTCTTATATGAGCTGAAGCCCTAAGCGGACCATGTGCCCCACCAGCTTTTTCACTAGCAATTGTTTGTTCTCGACGAAAGCCAGCTTTGTAGTCTTTATAACTGTTAATTCCCTTATATAATTTTTCATCCTCAGACCTTGCACTTTTCCCTTTCAGACTCTCTGATGCTTGCTTGAGTGCTCTTTCACGGATGGCACGAGCATCTTTTGAAAACTCAGTCTCAGTCTCTAGAGTTGCCGTTGCTTTGCTATCATGTTGAACTTGAATATCTTTTGAAGACTCAAACTGAAAGACTGGTTTTCCAGACTCTTCTGTTGATTCAGCAGATACAGAGCTTTTTGAAGAGCCAGTGAAAAAGTACAACTTATTGTCAGGTTTTAAGGTCTTCTTTTGAATATGCAACAGAGAAGTTTCTTTGTTTGAGTCCTCCACATTATCTTCATCGTCAATAGTCCGTTTCCTTATATTCTTTTTATTTATCGGTTTTCTGAAAAAACTACAAACTGAAAATAAACAAAACACGGTAAATAATATACTAGTAGTACTAGTACCAATTAAAATACAGAGAACAAAAGCAAACCAGATTGGACAGTTAAGTCCAATGCAGAGGCAGAAATTAACAAATTATAGGTAAAATAAGCAGGCATACCCTGTTCAGTTTGCTGGTTTTCAGCAGAGTTGGCAGGTTGATCAGAATCTTCCATAATTAGAATGATTTATACAGCTGTCACAGATAAGCATCAAAATCATAATAAGGAATAAGCCTATATCATACTAATGAATCCACTTTTACAAATTTTATAAACCAATTGAAAAAATAAATAAAACAATTTCCTTTAGATAGAGTTTACTCAACAAAAAATGTTAAGCTGACCACCAGAGCATACCAGCCCAACTATTTCTCCCATTTAGTTAGTTAAACTAAAGGTCAAGCTATTTTTCACACACACAATACGTGGCAAAGTGCAATAAACCTAAAAAATAGTGAGGCCCTTAACAACAATCTTTTAAAACAAAATAAGACGTATTTTCCAGGGTTTTAAATAAAAATCAATTTTAGTTTATGTGTGAAACCAGTAAATCTTTGTATATAATAATTCATTTTTCTCACTACCAAAACTTTAAAGTGAATATAGTTGTTTTTTCTTTTTTTATCGTAAAAAAACAACAAGATGGTTACTTACTGCTAAGTTCAAGGCTGACACCACTGCTGTATGTTTTTTCTCCTGACAACCTTGATTATAGTTTAACTACACAATAACTCTACCAAAAGGATTTTCTCTTTAATCACACTGTATTATCTTTTTGAATCCCCACATAAAAATCTTAAACAACTGCATATATTTGCATATAATATAGGGTACAATTTCTTTTCGGCAGATGCTGAAACAAAGACAAACAAAAGAAACAATTAAGGCAAAGAAACGTAATGGTGAAGCAAAACCTTGTTCATTCTAACAATTTGCGACGCAAGCCCTAGATAGCTAGCAAATCAAGGGATATGAGATGAGAACAGTTTATTATTACACAACCAGAAACAATAAACAAAATCACTAGTATCCTATATGCCGCGTTAGTAACAAAGCACTCACCAACTCCCCTGATTTGGGAGAATCCATATAATTTTCAAAGTTCAAAAATTTAAACATGAGAAAATTTCTAAGAGAGCATAGCTAACCTCTTCCATCTTCAAATCTATAAACCAAAAAAAGGAACATCTTTTTCATCCAAACAGAGCCTTGAGCAATCACAATGGAGTGCGTGAGACATACCTGGTGATGAACAGCAACAGGGAAGACAGAGGAATGGAATGACCAACCTCTCTTCGTCGATTCCCCAAACAAAGGGAAAATTGAAGAAGAAGATCAATGGGTGAGAACAAGAGACACTGAGTCTTCTTCTTCGCGGCGGCGTGGTGGAAGCTTGGCGAACTAACCAGATGGGTGAGACAGAACCCGCAAACTAATCCACCTTTCATAGAGATAAAAAAAGAATGATGAGATTAATTAAAAAGGAAAAGAAAAAAATATATAAGTGATTTGGCTAAAAAAAACATTTATTTATTATTATTATCTTTATTTATAATTATTAATATTTTTAATTATTTATTTATTCTTAAAAAATTAATACATAATCGGGCCATTATAATAATAAGAAAATAATTTACCAGAAATTATTTTTACAAACAACTTTTTTTACTAACAATCAACGGACAACCTTATATTAATCATATAATATTAATTTTAATTATTTTTTATCAATTTACAATTATTATATTAATATAGAGTTGTCTAATTATGTTTTGTTTTAAGATCATTATTGTCACTCTAATAATAATTATGTAGTTAAAATAATTAACCACTTTTTTTCAACTTAATAGATAATTTTTCATTGTTTCTGCATAATCAAGTGAAGACAGCTGGCCACATTCGCACTCCCATATTTTTTCCCATCATCTTCATAATTAAAATAAATTTTACTTTTATGTTTTTTTTTTACATTTTTTATTATATTTTAAACCCTAAACCCTTTCCATAATTTTCTTTTGTTGTTCTTATCTTCTAGTTGTTGTTTAATGGATTTATTATTCTTGTTAGATATTCACTCTATTAACAGTTGTTGTTTGATGGATTCATTGTTTTAGTCGTTGTTCAAGTAATTCACTCTGTCAAATGGTGGTTATATACAATTATAATTCTTAACCATTCATTTTTTTTTATTTTTATTTTCATACTAATGTTTAAAATGTAGAATACAGTTTAGTAAATTTCATGAAACTTTTAGATTACCCGTTTTATAACATTTTTTATTGATGTTTTTGAAATAAAATTATATTAGGTAATTTAAAATAATAATTACTATTTTACGGTTTTATAAATGTAATTATTGTGTTGTTTTGTTCAATAAGAATTATGTATATTATCTATTTTTTTAAGTAGACTTTTTATATGAGGGGATTTTGTATATCTTTTATTAAAAATTTTAAATTAAAAACAAAAAAAACAGAGAATAAGAAAAAAAATATAATAACATATAACTAGAGGAAAATAAAAGGATATATATTAAGTAATTTATAATATTAATTACTATTTTACCGTTGAATTTATAAAATATGTATAAAATATCATTATAAATTATTGTAATCAACTAGACCCATATAATATAAAATGAACTTGTTACTAATTTACATCTTCATATACACTAGTGAATATAAGAATAAAATTACCTTACAATTGACCCATGCAATAATCTTACTTATAAGTAAATGGAGTAATTAGATTCATTGTTCTACGTCTTAATAAAAATAAATAATAATCTTTTTATATGTTATGTCATCACTATCATTTACAAATGTTCTAGTTAAATATTATATTATAACTAGCATAAACGAGTGTTTTCAATCTAAATAATTAAATAGTTATTTTTAGTGATAACCTCCAACTTATTAATATTTTGACCAAATATTCCCAACCATATTATATTTATATATTTATTAAAAATGAAGCGTTATTAAATATATAAAAGATTAAGTTTTTTTATATTCTTCTTTGTATTATATTCATATTTATTAATAAAGTTTTATTCTCAAGAGTCATACATATATCTTCCTGAAAAATTATTCAAACAAGAAAGATTTGGAAATCAACTCTCCTAATCTTGATAACAATGAAAGTAACTACAAAAACACAATTAGACAATTAAATTTGAAATCTTTTGTATATTTCTGAATTGTTCAAATATGTGATTATGAATCAAAATTTTGGATGCATAACTTTATAAATGTCAATATGATTCAAAGCATAAAACATGACCAATAAATTTATAACTTGGGAGAGTGAAGCTTAAAACAGCCATGGAGGTGCAGGAAGAAAAAAAAATAATTTCAAATTAGGGAGGGTTAAGGGGTAAAAAACATGTAATGAAATTTTTATCATTTTAAATATGTCATGGTAGAGGAAGAAAATATGAGTTACAAGAAAAATACATAAACCGTAACAGATCTTACTAAATGAATATAAAAAAATATATATAAAATAGAAAAAAAATTAAATTTATTAATTTATAAATAAATATATTTAATAATTATTAAAAAATCAAAATCGTAAATATACGCATAAATTATAAAATATGGGAGGATCATGATGAAATTAGTTTACAAGCTGTACTTGATTTTTGTGATGGTCAATACATATACTTAAAATATGCATGATAATAATATTATTTAAATTTAATAACATATTTTATTATTAATTTACTGTAAATTTTATTATGGTATTTTTAATTTCACAAATTTTATCATTGAACTTTCAAGTTATATATTTTACTTTTTATTAATTGACTATCAAATTATTAACTATGTATGTAATAATAGTGTAACTAATATAATGTAAATAATAATTATACTTGTAACTCGAGTCACAAGTATAATTATTGGCTTAAATTTACTTTGATTTTCGTTATGATTATGTAAGTTTTTTCATATATACAATTAATAGGACATTTGATTGTTAAGTATTTTAAAATTAAGTGATTTTGTTTCAATATTCATATACATGCAATTATTATATATATATATATATATATATATATATATATATATATATATATAAACATTATATATATACTCATAATAATGATGTTTATTATTATAGATATTATTATTAGTAGTAGCAGTATTAAATAGATTAACATCTTCTATTAACAATATTAGAAAATGTGTTATTATTAAATCAAAATTATTTAATTTTCAAAAAAGAAAAAGAACAAAAATATAATTATCTTTATTCTTATTTTTAAATTAATTAATTTGATTCTTCAATTTTTGAAAATATATATTTTTAATTTTTCATACGTAAATTTAAAAATTAAATTATGATTTTATCTTAATAGAGTTGATAAAATTATACCTAAATTTAATATTTAATAACTTTTTTTATTTTTATAAAATTTATTAAAGGATTATATTCATATTTTTAATAAGTAATTTGTTAGACTAAAATAAATTTTAAAAAATATAAGAACAGAAACATATTTCACCCTTAAAAATATAATATATAAATCATTTATTATGTATATTTAACATTAAACAATAGCTTTTTATTATTGTGACAACTGCAAATTCTACTTAAAAATTTTCACTAAAGAAAGGAAGAAAATAATTTTTTCCCCTATGAGAGGTATAATAGTTCAGTTTACAATCATCCAGAATAGTTGAAAAGAAAAAAAAAACATCACACATCAAAAGTCATAATTACACTAATGGTTTACGCATAATTATATAACCCAAAATAACTTCTTCAAATTTAAGAGGTCTCTACTTCATTTCTCAAATTATTAGATGTTACTATCACCTGTAGAAGATTTGGAATCTGCTCATGTGTATAATACGATCATAGCAAAGCACACAAAAAAACAAAGGTAAACTACCATTTGATTAAACATGTAAAACAGTGTAACATTGCAAACGACACTTATTCATTCACAAACATCCTAAAACTAGACTCACCGGAGAGTCTAGCATTTTACAATCACAACACACAACAAGATTGACGTTTTCCAGAAAACTATATGGAATTCAAACCAGTAAGCCAGACACCTGATGAGGAATATTTGAGGTCCCAGACCCTTAAAATTTCATGGCCACAGGCTTATAATATCATTTTTTTCAACCTCTCATCGGAGCAACACATGCATAGGATTGACACTATGTTGTGTCTCCATCGACTTTCCACCACAGATATCTTCGTCTATATGTCTAGGAACATCTTGGAAGTCTGGATACCCTATTACGCCTATCCATAATTCCATACGCATTATTCTACACAGTACATCAAATCTATCATTCAACAACTATTCCATACACATTATTCTACTCAGGGTTTCTAGAATCAAACCAACATCATGCAATTCACAATGTCCAGTCCAATATTTAAAATTCTCAACTACTATGCAATCATAATTCACTTAAAACGGTACATCATTTATCCTTCAAACCACACAAGCCAACCATACAATTTAGAAATTCAATGATACAAAGATATTTATTTCAGTCAATCTATTTCAAAACAATTTACACTGCAAGGTTTCCACTGCAAGGTTTCTACAATTACTCATAATATCATACCACCTACAGCACGTATATATATCACAAGCATATTCATCATTCACTTTATTTAACTTTTCATCAATACAATACAGCCAGTAAAAATCAAAGAAGTCTCCCTTACCTGTGGTTAATGTTACACGTCAACCTAATTCCAATAAAGCCTTAGGAAGGTCAAAACACCTAAGAGGTACCGTTCTCCCCCAATTTGAAAAACCCTAAAAACGAAATTGAAGTAATAAACAAAATTAAACCAAAGAACATGAAATTGGAGAGTGACAGAGTAAGAGGAAACCTTTAATTCCACAAATAATTCCTTAAATTCTCAAAACCCCAAAATTTAACTTGTAAAAGCCCTAAAATTCAAATTTACCGAAACGAAATTTTAATCGGTAGATCTTCTGTTGTTCTCCGCCGTGAGCACAACGGAGGCCTCGTATTCTTGATCGGGGAAGAAGAAGATCTTGATCTGTAGGAGAGAAGGTAAAGTTGAGTTATGAAGAGGGGATTTGTTTGCACGAAGGAGAAAGGAAACCAGATTTTCTCTCCTCATCTTCTTTTTAATTTTCTTTTAATTAAAGCATATTTCAATTATCAAAATTAATACAAATATTAAATTCATATTCCACTTAAATTTAATATTTTCTTATCTTTAAATTTAATATTTATTAATCATTTTATCATTTATAACATTGATAAAATAATTAGGTTAGAGTACGAATCAATTTTAAAGATTAATTATGTTTTTAATTTCTAAATTTTATAATAATATTTTTAATCTCTCAAATTAAAAGAATATTATAGTCTTTCAAATTATAATTTTTTAGTCTCTAAATACTAAACAATAATAAAAAAAAATTATTTTAGTCTCTCAAATTTATTGTTTAGAGATTAAAATCATATTTTCGAAGAATTAAAATAAATTTTAAAATATATACACAAAAAAATATTATCTTAAATTTTAGTAACTAAAAGTCTAATTAAACTATTTAAAAAAAAAACTAAGTTAAAAAAAAAATCTGTTCCCAGTAATTAAATACAATTGGTGGCATCGTATAGTCTTCAAAATTTGATTGAAAAGAAAAAGTATATATATATATATATATATATATATATATATATATATATATATATATATATTATTGTGAATGCAAAAGCTGACATGAAAATAATCTTTTGGTGTCAGAAAAAAGTTGAAATAAACGAAGAAATTTTGGTAACAACCAAAAACAGTGTTGACCGCGCCGTCCGGTGTGGGACTACTGTGAATAGGAAGCTTTCATTAATCGCAACTCTGCATCCATCAAATGAATTCATTCACCTCTTTCATTTCAACTATAACTTTGGGATTCAGTTCAGATCAACACACATGTCCAAGGTCACAATCTTATATCAATGGCAATGAATTATGCTATAGAGAAACACTTTCAGTTCAAGTTTCGAAAATATATTACTCAATTCAAAGTTATTGAATAATATAATGATTATGACAGAATCATTTCATCTATATATATGTATATATATATATATATATATATATATATATATATATATATATATATATATATATGTATGACATAATATGATTATTCAAAGTTTGAGAAGAAGTACATTGACAAAGTATAATCATAATTAATCTTGATATCTAAAAAAAGTTACTAGTACATTGTGGCACATGATACAAGATCCACAGTTTAGTTCTTTGAATTGACCAAAAACTTTGGAAGTGTCCTCTGATTAGGCCTGTCTAAGCTTCCGGTGACAGCAAAAAGAAATAATGCAGCATGAAGAGCTTCATAATCTATTTCCAAATCCAATTAAAGACCCCACTAGTTCCTCCACTCGTGTGGTCAACACATGGGGATGATTAAAAAATCAACACATCAATTTAACCATCGCCACTTTCAGGAATTTCAGTTTCAATAATTGTGTTTTGAACCACAACATGTCACCTGAACAAGAGGCAAATTATAGCTAAAGTACGATTGTTTATGTGCCTAAGAAACCATAGGCAAAGAAAAAATGATAAAAGATTATATTAAAAAGACTTGAAATCAAAAGGGGTCAAAGAAAGGACATGGACAAGATCAATCATGGCATCAAAGAATCACTTTTTTTTTCTCTTTGTCAAGTTCATTCTAGTCAAATTATCTATGCAACTAGTGGCTCTAGGCCACTCTCATCATCATTTGTAGTTATGCTTCTATTGCATGCAAGAGCCATTTTCCACTCATGGGTTTTCTTATTTCGTAGATGAAGTATATGTATTTGATATTTATTTATTAGAAATAAAAAAGGTTAATTAATTTAATCCTATAAAACGAAATAATGATATGTGTATGGCACCTTTCCTCGTAACATGGATACTTTGAAGAGACGCAATAAAGTGGCGAACCCTATTTGACCGAAAGTAACACTGATGGACTTAGAAAGGGAAAAAAACTGGCTCTTTTATGTAGAGAGGATTTTCTTGAGCCTAGTTAAAGTGATGAACGTGCTTAAAGATAACTAGATTTATGAACTTTGTACCACGAATTAAAGTCATGTGTATTGTATTGGATCAAATAAAGTGTTGATTCAAAGCTTTAATGCAGAAAAACAAGATTAAAAAGAAAGACTTCTCTAAAACTATATCATAGAGAAAATTATGATTTTGATTAAAAGATTCGTTTAGAATATGAAGTAGAAATGATTTCGTGACTTACTTTGAATTGTTATATGGTTCAGAGTTGAATAAATTATATTTTTTTAT